GGTGCCCGGTGTCCCCGGCTCTGCTCCCCCCCCTTCCCTGACACCCCTCGGGCAGCCCCCGCCGCCATCGTCCGCTCCCCGCTGCCCCTCTGCCGCCGTGCCAGCCCCGGGCAGGCCCCGAGCCCGCGGCACCGCGGCACCGTGGCCGGGCTCCCCGGCGACACTTGGCTGTCCACCGCCTCCCTACCCGAGCCAGGCCTGGCTTGGTGCCCGGCACGGGCACGGCCCCGCACCCCTGTCAGCATCCAGGGACCCCCAGCCCCGCCTGCAGGGACAGACCCCGTGCCCGGGGACCATACGGGGCCCTGGGGGCGCACGAGGGGGCTTTAACCCACCCTCCCAGGGTCCCCGCTGCGCCCAAGGACCATGCAGTGACATGCTGAGGACACAGACGCTACAGAACAGAGATCTTCTGCAACCCAGTTCCCGCCCACGAAGCCTATGGGGCCACTGTGGGACCACCGTGGGGCCACCAGCAGTGCCCATGAGACCCCTGGAGCTGGGCAGTGCGTGGGGAGCTCGCAGTGTGCAGGCGGCATGATGGGCAGAGGCTGGGGGTACCCAGGGTGCCCCCAGCCTGGCCAAGCACCACTCACCCCCAGAGGGTTCTGTGGGGTCCTGCCAGGGCACTGGCTGGGACTTGTGCCCCACGGAACACCTCAGCCCCTGCTCCCGTCACCCCATGGCCTCCCCTAGCTCACCCCCCCACGCTGCTCTGGCTGCTGCACACCCCAGCTGACACCAGCCCCCCCAGCCCGTCACAGCCTCCTCCCCTCGGTGCCACATCCGAGAGGGGATCCCTGTCCCTCTGTGCCGACAGGGTAACACCTATCTACAAAGGGGGGTGACCCAGGGGTGCCGGGGGGGTCCCCACCCCACATTCACATGATGTCATCCAGGAGGTTGGGGCTGGCCACCCAGTCAAGGGTGCGGGGCTCAGAGGCTGCCATGATCATGCACATGAACTGTTTGCCCGTCCTCTTGTCGATGGGGTAGATGGTGGTGGGGGTGAAGCGCTTGTTGCTCTCCACGAAGTCGCAGAGCTGCTCGTAGACAGCAGGGAACTCGTGCCGCAGGAAGACGCCGCGGATGCGCAGCTCCCGCTGGATGTTGATGAAGCAGACCTCCCGCGCCTTGCGGCCCTCCTCCCCCTCCTTGTCGATGTCTGCTGTGCCAGGCGGCGGTGTCAGGATCAACGTCTCCATGTCCCGCTCCTTCTTCAGGATCTTCTTCTCAGGGCTGGAGGAGGCTAAGGCCACCTTGGCGTATTTCCTGACTGTTGGCACCTGCATCTTTGGCGATGGCCTCTCCGGCACTTTTTGGGTGACGGCCACGGTTACATTCAGGAGAAAACATTCGTCGGGGTCATACTGGTTGCCCGTCTCCCGCAGCTCCCGGGCATACTCCCCCAGGTTGTCCGAGTAGCTTTCCAGCTCCCGCAAGGACAGGTAAGTGGGGGACATCAGCAGGCTCTCCAGCCCGAACTGGAGGAAGTTTTCGGCTGAGCCGGCGTTGGGGAAGCCCAGGAAGAGGACGCCACGGCCACGAGAGAGGTAGCCCACCTTGGCAATGCGCGAGAAGGCCTTGTGTACCTCGGCGTTCTCCCGGCAGAACTGCAGGACGTGGCGGCAGACGCTGCCCACGCGCCCGTAGACGCAGCTCTCCTTGTGCGTGTCCCAGTCCTCGCGGCGGCAGTGCCGGGAGCAGTAGTAGGTGTAGCAGCTGTGGCACGACTTGAAGTAGAGGCAGGCGTTGAACATGGTCTCTGTGCGCCGGCACTTGGCGTTGGAGCACATCATCATGTCGTCCTCCTCCGCGCTCAGGTCAGGCGAGCAGTTCTCTGGCGACTTCTCGAAGGGGCCAACGGGCAGCGGGGCTGGTGGGGGGCGCGGGGCGCTGCCGCGGGAACTGGGACCTGGCTGCTCCTTGGTGGGTCGGGGTCCCTCAGGCACACCAGGGGGGACCCTCCTGCCCTCGGCCCGGTGGGGGGGTCCCGGGGCGCTGCTGCTCAGGAGCTGCTTGAGCTGCTCAGCGAGGCTGTCCCTGTCCCCAGCACGGTGGCCTGGTGCCGGCTTGTAGTCAATGACAAGGTCAGTGATGAGCTCGTCCAGTTGCTCCAGGCTGCGCTGGCGCCCCGAGCCGCTCTCCCTGGGGACAGGCTGCGGGGCGCAGGGCACGGCGTAGGGACCGCGCTCCCGCCCTGCGTCCAGCATGTCCCAGCTGGCCGAGCGCCTCTCGCTCCTGCCCAGCCCCTCGGCACGGATGTCGTTGTCGGTGATGGTGATCTCTGGTGTGACATACCAGGAGCGGCCTGGGGGACCGCGGCCACCGTCGGCATGCACCCTCTCGAGGATGGAGCTCTCAGAGAGGGACAGGGCAGCGTAGCGCTTGGGCGAGCTGGAGAGGTTGATCACCACCGGCTGCCGGCGCTCCTCGGGGGATAAGGCACGGTGCGGCTCCTGGGCGAGCAGGTTCTCGTAGCTGCGCCCGCGCTGCAGGACCTCCTCCCTGCGCGCCCCCGGCGCCAGGATGTTATCCCAGGATTTGGAGTAGTGCTGGCTCTCCCGGCCCAGCCGTGGGGGGGTTACGCCGTAGCTGGCGTGCCAGGAGGAGAGCATGGCCTCGCGCCCGGAGGGCTGCGGGGTGAAGCGTGACACCTGCAAGGTCTGGTATGGCAGCGCGCCCCGCTCGGAGCCGTACCAGTCGCTGAAGTGCAAGGGCTGGGTGCTGCGGGGCGGGGGGCACGTCCGCGACAGCACCTCCCGCTCCCGGTACTTGCCATAGTCCTCAGTGTAGAAGACCCGGGCAGAGGAACCGAGGGCCGGGTACGTCCGAGTGTCCTCGGAGTAGAGGGTTTTGACGGGGGTGCCGCGGGGGGCGTAGAAGCGGGGCTCATCCCCATAGAAGGCACGGGCGGGCGCCTCCTGCACCGGGTAGCCCCGTGCCTCCTCCACGTACAACGTCCGGGGTGGCACCGTGTGGACGGCGGCTTTGGCCGGGTCCTCGGCATAAAAGTGCTGTGGGATGCTGTGGCGGGCAGGGTAGGGGTAGCTGGCGTAACCGGAGCTGCGGAGGGGCATGGCAGGGCTGGGGCACCGCGCTGGCTCCTCCGCGTAGAAGAACTTGGCGGGGACGCCGGGGGCTGAGAAGGTCATGCAGCCCCTCTCGGGGTACTCCCTGAATTCCCGTGAGGCTGGCACCGGCACTGTCTGGTACGCCAGCACCCGGGGGTCTGCCTCGTAGTACTCGCCAGGGTAGGGCAGGAGCGGAGGGTCCCCGCTGTAGGAGTCGCTGGGGGTGGGTGTGCGGGACATGGAGACCTGCCTGCTCCCTGGCACTGCCAAGCTGCGGGCAGCCCCAGGTGTGCGGGGCCAGCGTGGTGGTTCCTGCCGGTTCTGGGCCGCCCGCAGGCTGCGCGCCGTATGTACCAGCACCGCCTCATCCGGCTTGATGTCCACCCGGCACTTCACGTGGGGGCTGGCACCCACCACCTTGGCACCCGGCCCCTCCTCGAAGCAGTTGTTGCCCAGGCAGAGCGGGGAGATGCGGCTGACGCTGCTGCGCTGTGGCTGCAGCTTGATGGGGTGCACCTCGTTGGCCAGTGCCCGCAGGGGAACCTGGCTCTCGCGGCGCGGCGAGGGCTCAGGGCGGGAGGGCTCCCGTGCCACCCGCAGCGCCTCCCGCCCGCGCCGGGCCGGTGGTGGTGATGCCGAGACGGCGATGGGCACTGGGGTGAAGGTGGACTTCACCCGTGGTGCGCTCTTGGAGCGGGTGCGCCGCTTCGGCTCGCTCCTCGGCTGGGGGGCTCTGCCACCATAAGGGTTTGGTTTTGGCGGCACCCGCCTGCCTGGCGGCCCCGGCGTGGGTTCGGGGGTGCCGGGGCGCGGGCAGGGGCGCTCCATGGCTGGGGGGGTGCCCAGCTGCTCGTCCAGCGACTCGAGGAAGTCAAAGCTCCTGCAATGGCGCTTGTTGAAGGGCTGCGGCTCGCGGGGCAGGGACGAGGACATGGAGGCATCACATTGTGCCAGGGGCTGGCAGACAATTGAATCCCTGGGGGCTGCGGTGGCCACCTTTATGTCTTGGTACACCGTAGACACCAGGATGTCAGGTGGGTCCGTTCGTGTCATCTTAAAAGCGGCTCTTCTCCTGCCAGCTCCCCTTCAGATGGCCTCAGAGGAAGGCAGCCGGCCCTGCAAGAGAACAGATGAGGCGCCTAAATCCCAGGGGGGACCGCGGGGAGCCACAACGGCACTCAAGAAATCCTCCCAGCTCAGGAGGTGTTTGGCCACCTCTTCAGAAATGGGGGTTCAGGAGCGTCCCAGCCTCTGCTGCTGCTAATAGTTGGATCCCAACTGGGGGAAGAAGCTGGAAAAAGGTTCCAAATCCAGAGTGCAAATAATGGGATGGATGGCAGGGCACCCATGGGTGCCCTGAGCACAGCAGGGCAGCCAGGGAGAGGTGCCAGCTCACCACAGGGCAAGGAGGCCAACTTTTTGGGGTGCAGCACTTGGGCACCCTCTTGCAACATCATGGGAAATGGCTGCTTGAATGGGGCTGGGGGGAGTCGACCCCAGAGTTTTCAATGGCGGATGGGGAACACATGCCCAGCCCCCCGACTGCGAGCATCCGAGTGGCTGTGGGGTCTCCTGGGGCCATGCGTGCCCACGTCCCAGCACCAGCATCACAGGCAGCACAGGCAGGAGCATCAGGGGTGATGTACCCATTGTGGCGGCCGGGAAGCCCACGCAGCTCTAGGGGGACAGGAGCTATTCCCCTTCCCTGTGGCAGCTGCACCCACCATGGCCCATGGACACCCCTGTGAGGTGCCAAGAGTCCCAGCTGCTGGCAGCCACCTCGCTCCATGGGGCTCCTCTGAGCTGGCACAGGTGGCACTTAGGGGCTGGCAGAGGGGTGTTGTGTGTGTGCTCCAAACCCATATGCCAGCAGCAACTCCTCCGTCTCCCCATGGCTCTGAGCGGGACAGACCAGGGTCCCTCCGCAATAACCTTATGCTGGAGGGGCTCAGTGCCCACTGGCTTTGTCCTTTCCCACCTCTTGTGGCCGGGACACATCTCCAGGGCTGAAGAGCAATCGGGACAGCACCTGGAGCTCCCATAGGACATGGGGTTTGGCACCCACTGTGCACCTAGCAGTGCACCTCACCTGCTGTGGGATGATGCTGGATAGGTGGCCGGGGTGGGCAGGCCCCAGCCAGGTGTGTGACACAGCTGTGTGACAAGGAGGGGCATCAGCACAATCCCCTAGACTGACCGGGGGAGCAGACGAGGTGGTTTGCCCGCAGGATCTGGTGGGTTGTGGCACTGGTCTTCACTGACAGCCCATCGAGAGCCGGCTCCAGGCTGCTATGGGCTCTGAGGGGATGTTCAACTGGCTCTGCCCACGGCAGGGACAGCCTGAGCTGGCTTTAATGCTCATCACATCCTGTGAGGATTTTGGATTTTTGACCACCTGGCCAAGGGCCTGGGAGCACAGGAGGGTGCCAGCTGCTCCATGGAACACTGAAGGTGCATGGCAAAGGCCAGCAAAAGGCATTTGGCTTTAAACAGCAGCAGAGGACCACAGGGAATGTGTCGCTGGGAGAAAAGGAACAGACTTTATTTGGCAAGAATCAGTATCGACTACACAGAGATGGAGGTGGAGGGGAGGGAGGGGGCTTGGGTCCCCCCTCATTACCCGGGTGAAGCCCTCTCTCATCCTGAAGCTGGGAAAGACAGATGCCAGAGCTGAGGTGAAGCCAGAAGGTTGGGGAGTGTCTGTCCCTGGCAGGGCTGTGGAGCCCAGTGGCCGGGGAGAGCTTGATGGCAGGAGGGGATGGGGATACTGGTGCCTCTGGGACAGGAGGTTTACACCCATAGTGGTGGCTCAGCATCACCCCTGCTCTGTTACAGCTTGGGAGCCAGGCCAGATCCGGGAGGGCAGCACCCCACGCCACAGCGATGCCGACAGCAGTGTTAGAAAGCCCATCCCTGAGGTGTCGGGGCAGCTGGTGGGCAGGGAATCGTGGCCCAGGGTCCTACCTGGTCCGGCAGCAGCAGGAAGGGGGTGGGTGGGCTGAGCTGAGCAAGGGCCCCACCACGGCTCCATCCCAGCGCTGCAAAATAGAAGAGGCGTGTGAGGGTCCTGGGAACACCCGGCCATGGCGGGGGGGGGCGGTGCCAGGGCCACGGGGTACCTTGGGGGGACAACAAACAGCTCGAGGAGCCCCTGCAGCCAAACCAAACTGTAGCTCAGTGAGGCCACCGTACACATCCCCGTGCCCTAGGGACCTGGGCCCTGCATCCCATGGGCACCACCACATCCCCCACCCATCCTGGCAGCGCCCCACTGCCCACAGAGCCACGCGAGGCCGTGGTGATGGGGGAATCCAGGGACAGCGCGGTGTTGGCATCCTCAGTGCTGCCTGAGGTTGCCATGGTTTCTCCGAATTATTCCTCCTCTGCAAGGACAGCGTGGGTGCGTGGGGAGGCTGCTGGGGTGGCAGTGCTGTGGGGGCTGGGGGGAGCTGGGGCTTTGCGGCACTGCAGGGAGAGCAGAGCACCCCCAAAGCCATCATTGGGGAAGGGGGGCAGAGCTGGGATGGCCCCACTACTGCTGGTCCCTGGTGCCACCGTGCTCCCACAGTCCACATGCCCCCAGCACTGAGACCCCTCTGCAGGGAGAGGATTTGGCATCCCCTCTGCTCTCCTACCCTCAGCTGGTGGGCACTGGGTGCCCCATTTCACCCCCAGCCCTGCCTGCCCTCAGTGGGCGCGGGTCTCCCTGCACAGGGTCTCTGTGCTGTGTCACCCTGGGGACGCTGACATGGGCTGGCAGTGCTTTCAGAGCTGCTGATGCCTCCCGAGCTCCCTGCACAGGAGCCACCCCCTGGGGGCACATGACCCCTGGGGACACAGCTGGCCCCGTGCTCACATCCTCACCCCGGGGAGGGCCCAGGCAATTTGTCACAGAGCTTTCTGTGCCCCCGCTGCTGGACAGGACACACGGACACCTCTGCCCAGCTGCACAGCAGCTCCCCTCCAGCTCACCCCGCTGTTGCCAAGGGGCACCCGGCAGGACTGCCCCCCCCCCCCCACACCCCCCGTCTCCCCACGCTGGACAGGACACACGGACACCTCTGCCCAGCTGCACAGCAGCTCCCCTCCAGCTCACCCCGCTGTTGCCAAGGGGCACCCGGCAGGACTGCCCCCCCCCCCAAGCCCACAGGCTTGACCTGGCACCGCCGCAGATCCTGGTACCACCCATGCTCCTCCACCCTTCTCAGCACCCAGATTGCAACTGCTGCTGCCCCAGGGGTCCTGCCCACAGCCGGGGGCTGCCCTCGCCCCCAGCCTGGCACCCCATGCTGCTCTCGCTGTGCTGCAGGTGGGCACAGCTCCGTCCCACGGGAGCAGCAGGAGGGGCTGGGAGCGACCCTGGGCTGCCAGGGGGGCCCACAGGAGGCTGCCAGGAACTGGGTCGCTGCCTGCATGAGACACACGCGGGCTGTGCTGTGGGGCTGTGCTGCCCACGGCACCCCACGTGTGTGCTGCCCCCCCACTGCCCCACACCCACGGAGAGGGCACTGTTTGCCTGCTCTGCACAGAGCGCCCTGCCAGGGCACTGCCCACAGCCTGCCCCCACGCACCGCAGTGGGCACACTGCCCACACACTGCACACACTGCGCTGGGCACTGCCAGGGCACTGCCCCACACGCTGCCTCATGCACTGCCCGCATGCTGCCCTCGCACTGTGTTCACTGCACGGAGCACACTCCCAGGGCACGGCCTGGCAGCCCGCTGTCCCCACGCTGCCTGTGCATGGCCCTGAGCTGCCTGCACACACTGCCCTACCAGGGCACCGCCAGCTTTCTGCCTGCCCCCTGCACACACAGCACTGCACGCACTGCCAGTGCACTGCCCTGGGCACGCTGCCTCGGCATTGCTGGGCGCCCTGCCTGCCTCCTGCCTGCACACATCCCACCCAGCAGACGGGCAGCGTGATGCCTGCCTGTGCGCTGCCTGTGCGCGCTGCACGGGGGCCACTGCCAGCACGCTGCCTACACATGCAGTGCGCTGAGCACACTGCCACTGCACCACGCTGCAGGCAGCCTGAGCGCACTGCCAGTGCCGGCTGCGCTGCACTGAGCTCACAGCCTGCGCGCGGCCCCACCGGCACTGCCAGCCCGCCGGCAGCACCCGCGCTGCCCCGAGAAGGCTGGAAACACAGGCAGGGCAGCATCTCACGTGCACTGCAACCACTCTGCTCGTGCAGATGACGTTGGAGGCAGCCCCAGCACGCTGCCATGGGTGCAGTGCCTGCACACGCTGCACTGTGGGCACTGCCAGCCACAGCCCTGCACAGGCCTGTGTGCTCCCTGTGCACCAGGAGGGAGACACTGCCTGGGCACTGCCCGCACAGGGAGCTGGCACTTGGCACTGCCCGCAGGGAAGAAACACACTGCCCTCCCAGCCCCTGCCCTGTACGTGTGGCAAATAGACATCTCCCTCTCTGTGCGACCCCCCAACATACACCCTGCCCTGTGCCCCCCCCCCCCATGGCATTGCATGCCCTTCCACATACTCCCTGTGGCCCCCCAGTTCTGTGCCCCAGCCCGTGTGCCCCTGGCACCCCCCACATCACCCCCAGCCCCTGCTCTGAGCCCCAAGGCTTCCTGCCCAGCCCCAGCCCCCTGGGTGTCCCAGCACCCCCTGCACTGCCTGAACCCCCGCAGGGGCTCATCCTGCCAGGGGGAGCGGCGCCCCCAGCCCCAGCCCAGAAGGGCACCCCCAGTGCTCTGAACCCCAGCACCCTCGGCCCCCCGCCCTGGAGGGGCACCCGCAAACGGGCAAGGCCGGGCGTCTGGGGGCGCTGGGGGAGCCCGGGGAGGCAGCCGGGTGGAGCGGGGCTGTCCCGGGCTCTGCCACCGCCGCGCCCCCCAGAGCCCAGGGGGGTGGCCCCGGCAGCCCCCCACGCTGCGCACCGGCACCGGGTGGCACGGGGCCCGC